TTGCCTTAAACTTAGTGGTACACGAGAGATGGAGGATTAAATTGGTTAATAAGCCTAAATGAGAGTGATTATCCTACTGTTGTGGATAACAAGAACACAAATTAGGTATGTGTTTTTCGAGAAATTCTTAGGTGCTCCCGGACACCACATTGGATTGGTGATGTGGTGCTCGGGGCCAACGAAATTATACCACCTGTAGTATAATTATTTTGTTAATTGAGAGTTAATTAATGGGTTGGAAAATGGATATCAAGAATGTTAAATATTCATAAACATTCATTGACTAAATTACATAAATTCTTACTTACTTTTGCATACCTTCAACATCGTTTGATGCAGAATGGAGATTATGCTCTCCAACTCATTTTTTCCTTCCAATCTTCCTCAACCTACTCTTCTTTGTTTGCAACAATGATGAATGAAATTTATGTTCTCTCTTCCTCCAACTCTTCTTTTTCTTCTCCTCTCCCCCAACCTTCTCTTTTTTCCTCACTTCCTCCAACTGCTTTTTTCTTCTCATCTCCTCCAAATCTTTCGTTGGTTGCAATATAATGGCATTGGTGATATGTAATGCACATACGCGTTGTGACGAAAGAGAAGAAGACACTACTACTATGATTATTACTTGGTGTGACTCTTCGCTTAAGAAGTAAAAAAAAGTAAAGGAAAGAAACAATAGCAGCAGAATACATTAAGCCTGTGTTTGGGAGGAGGGGGAAATAGAACGGGTGCATATTTTGGGGAGTGAGGGGGAATTCCAATGAAGAAACACCAATTTGGTTAATTTTGTACAATGGGGGGAGGGGGGAAGGGAGTGCATATTTCCTGCTTGACCAAGCCCCCCAATTCCAGACGCAAAAAAGGAGAGAGAAAGGATGCGGGTTTGGGGTGGGGAGAGAAGGCCAAATGAGCATGAGGTAGGAGAGAGACAAGTGAGAGGAAAGATTAAAAAAAGTTATTTTTATTAATAAATACAATCCAACACTATTTACGACCTCTAATTTTTCTCCCAAATAATAATTTATACCCTCACTTAAATTTACCCCTACAATTTACACCTCAATTTGCACCCCCTCGTTGCCAAACATAACGAAAGGGAAAAGAATAAGGGAATGAGGGAAATTTAAAATACGTCATCTTATTCTTTCTTTTGCTGATGTTTGGTCTTTTCTCATGTCTAGGCCCAATTTACTAAGCTCAGCATTCCTCCGATTTTATGGTTTTTTAAAATAATTTTTTGATCAAGTATTTCACTTGAGGCGATTTTCTAAGCTCTGCACTCCTCAGTGTTCCTCCATCTCTTTGCCGCCTCTCTCTCTCTACACAGTTACTCCTCCATCTCCTCCACCATCCAGTTCCGACCTAGCTATGGTGCTTACACCACTTTTTGTGAGTATATACTTACATGGTGAGAATGGATGTCACATGACAGAGCTGAGATCCAAGGGTTGGGGCTCAGTGGCTCAAGGAAGGGCTTATTTAAGTGGATTTTAGTGGCTTCACGGCTACGAGCCAAGCCAGCCGAGAGAACTCGTATCTAGGCGAGAAAAACTAATATCCAAAATGAACGAACTACTAGCCAAGCTTGCTACTTTTATGAAGTAGTACTAAACTATACATGAGAGTACTTACTAGTATCCTGAGAGCACAAACTAGTATCTAAACATCACAAAAATAATATCCAACTCACAAAATTAGTATTCCGCCAATCAATTATGGAATTACCAACTAATATCCACAATCAAACCAACTAGTATTCAAGGTTTGCTAACTGATATCTATCATGAAATCAAAGATTATTCCACATTCACGAACTAATATATAGACAACACATAATAGTATCCGTACATCACAAAATTAGTATTCAGCCAATCAATTACGAACTAATATTCATATTCAAACCAACTAGTATTAAAGATTTTCTAAATGATATCTAGCATGAAAATAATACATTCACGAATTGATATTCAGATAACACAGAAGAGTATCTATACTACATAAAACTAGTATTTAGAAGAAAAAAGCACATTTATGAACCAGTATTCATGGCATTAAATGTAACATCCCGAACCTTTTCCCGACGAAGATATTGTCTGTTTTGTGTATCGACCCTCACAGTTTTCGACTGGGGTGAAATTCAAGGTGACTTCCCATAAGGCCACCCATCCTCGTTGTACTCCACACCGAGCACATTTAACTTCGAAGTTCTCACATGAACTCTTTCATTTCACCCCAAAACGCGTATTGTCAGTTAATGTCGGTTTCTTACTTATGAACCATGGATCTCTCTCGTGCTTTGTCGATATGGGATTCGTCTAAGGTGTTACATCAACCCCCCTTGGGACTCAACGTCCTCTTTGAGGTTTGCACCACCATCGTTCAAGAGGGACGCATAGAGGCTCTGATACCACTTGTAACATCCCGAACCTTTTCCCGACGAAGATATTGTCCGCTTTGGGTCTCGAACCTCACGATTTTCGACTTGGGGTGCAATTCAAGGTGACTTCCCATAAGGTCACCCATCCTTGTTGTACTCCACACCGAGCATGTTTTAACTTCGGAGTTCTCACAAGAACTCTTCCATTTCATCCCAAAATGCTCTTTTCAGTTAAGGTCGGTTTCTTACTTATGAACCATGGATCTCTCCCGTGCTTTGTCGATGTGGCATTCGCCTAATGTGTTATATTAAATAGCAACGATCTAAAAAAAACAGAAAGCCAAGAAGCCAGAAACCCAGAAAGCCGAGAAACCAAATAACCTAGAAAGGCAAGAAACCAAAAAAAGTCGAGAAAAGCCAAGAAACTAAAAAAATATAACAATCGCCGGAGTGGAAAAGTCCACACAAGGGAAAAAACTTGCATATCATATCTCCATTTGAGAAACTCCAAGCTCCAATGATCCAAAGATGACCAAGACCAAATAAGATCAAAATTTCTAAAGAGAAGAGAGAGCTGAGTTTTCAAAATAAAGGAGAGAGAAAATTTGTAAACACAGATAGATACTAGTATTTGCATTTTTGGATATTAGTTTTTCTCGATTTGATATTAGTTTTCTCGGTTGGTTTGGCTCTCACCCAAAAAGCCACAAATCCACTGAAATGAGCTTTTTCTTGAGCCATTAAGCCCCAACCCTTGGATGTCGTCTCGACGTGGCACTCACGATCCCACCGTATGAGTATATATTGACAAAAAGGGTTGTGAGTTAATTAACTTTTTCAGTCCGGTCCCACCTGAACTCCCCGCCACAACCACTAACGCCGTCGTCCCAATCCCAATCCCTGACTCTCAATCTCGCTGAGTATCTCCTGAATTCCGACGAGACGATCCTCCTCGCCTCCGAGTTGATCTTGGGGACAACTTCGAGACTCAAAAGCAGGCGCATCAACTCGTAATTCTAGTAACTCACCCGAATCGTCGTTGACGACAGAGCAGGGGCGGAGTTTGGATTTTGTGTTTGGGGGGGCCGAAAATGTTTCGTATACTATCGTAACTAGACAAAAATCAAAATAATTATAGAACTATATAAATAAATTAATTGTGTGAATTATCAAAATGTACGACATGTTTTGTCAAATAATTAGATTGACATTGTTGTTAAACTTATCGGGGGAAATTTTTCCATTAAAGCTATAAATTGTAAAAAACTCCAACCAAAAATTTGACATAAGTGGGGATTGAACCCCTGACCTACCGAATACAGAACCACTACAACTCCACTACGGTAATCAGCTTCTATAAATATATTTAAACCCGTGGTCATTATTATAAAACCTGTATTTACTTCGTAATTTTCAGAATACTCGTACATTCTTTCATGATTTTCGAAATTCTCGGGGGGCCGGCCCCCCCTTAGGCCCTGTGTAGGTCCGCCCCTGCGACAGAGGACTACGCTAGATCTACCGTTTTACATTCTTTTGCTCATATCCAGAGCCAAAACCATGCAGGCGGAGATAACGAAGTCGGTCAAGGCCCCGACTTGCCATGGCAGATTTCGATTAGTTTCTCACCATCATTGATTTCCAGTTATATGTTGCTGCCCTCCTCAGAACTTTTGTTGGCTGGCTAACGCCAAGGAGGAGGAGAAAATCGACGGTGGCAATTGCATTCTAGGGCTCGCGAGGATCGAGAGGCACCACAAAAGGCAGATCATCAAACAGAGGCAACATAAATGGAACTCGAAAATCATATGTAGAGCTCGACAAAGAAGGAGAAGACAACAAAAGCCTCCTCGTCATCGTCGTCGTCTTTGTCCAGGGTACAAAACCATCCAATTTCGCTGAGATCGACCGGGGGGAAGCAAGTGTTGGAACTTGGTGGAACTAACCGGACCAGACCACTTTGGATCAAAACCGATCAGCCAAATTACCCGAATAAAAATGTTTCATGACAATAGTGGTGTTGGTGTACGGTAGTTTCCAATGGAGAGATACGTTTGCAATGAAAAAGGCAACTCATACTAAGGTAAGGAATCATCCCAATTCTCAATTAGATGGTTGAACTCGATTTCTTTTACCCTATTGAAGATATCCATAGAGACGAGAGAGAGAATGAATACCAAATGACTGCAACTGCGTAGCTACAGCTGACCAAGTTGCATTCTTTCAAATTTATATTTGATTGTTGACGTTAGATATTGAATTCAACTATATAAGGTTTGTCATTTTGTTTGTAATGATGTATTTTATTTAAATAAGATTGTAGTTTGTATGGAAATTTCTTTGAAATAATATTATATATATGCGTAATTTATTTGGTTTACTAGTTTCTCACTTATTCTATGTATTTTATTAAAACCGAAATAATACAAATTATGCATAGGCTAAATCATATAACTTACTAAATCGATGATGGTAACGACATAAACTAATTTAACAATATAAATGAGACAAGTCTTCTATTATTACTTTTTTAGTTTTTTTCTTGCAAACTCTTCTAGGCTCTAGCATTTGCTAATTAAAGTTTTTTTTTATCCTCCCTTTCTTCCATTTCTTTCCGTTTCCATTATAGCGATTAGCGACCCGACCCTGCTATACCTATACCCGATTTCCACTCCTTAGTCCTTCCTTCCCTCCCGCGCTCGCTGTGGCCACTTCCAAGCTCAGCCACTTCTTCTTGCTCAGCGCAGGCTCATGGCTTCTCTCGACGCTTGTTCTTCTTACTCTTCCTCAGCTTTCATCTCCGGTCTGCGTTCTTTACCCAACCAATTGCAGACCTGGAATCTTTTCTACCTCCTCAAGTGCCCCTCCTCTCGCCGTTACCCATCCTCCCCTTCCCCTTTCTCCACCCTCACCTCTTCCCTCCACGTCCCAGCCGCCCTTGCCGCCGCCCCTTCCCCTGCTCGACTACGTCCCCGCGCCGATAGCATCGACCTCGACAACGACCCAATCTCCCTCCTCCACCTCAGAATTCGCCGCTACCACACCAGCCGGGATTCCTCCTCCAGACCTGCCATGGACTCCAAGGAGGCCGATAAATACATTCAGCTGGTGAAGGAGCAGCAGCAGAGAGGTTTGCAGAAGTTGAAGGGAGAAAGGCAGTCCAAATCCAACTCTGACGGAGGAGGATTTAGCTATAAGGTCGACCCCTACACACTCTGTCCCGGAGACTACGTCGTCCACAGGAAGGTCGGTATTGGGAAGTTTGTCGCCATCAAGTTCGATATCCCTAGCCCTTCTTCTCCGCCTATCGAGTATGTCTTCATCGAATACGCTGACGGCATGGCCAAGCTCCCTCTTCACCAGGCCTCTCGCTTGCTTTATCGTTACAATCTGTAGGTATTCCTTCCCCTGAATTTCTCCCCTTCTCTTGTTTGTTGGTTGCATGGGAAGCTCTGTGGTTTCCTTTTAAGTCCCCATTTGAACTGAATTTCTCATCCTATCCTCGTAATGTTGCTTTTCCAGCCCCAAGGAAACGAAAAGGGCCCCGGGCGCTGAGCAAATTGAGCGACCCAGGTGCGTGGGAGAAGAGAAAGACCAAAGGTAAGGTTGCAATCCAGAGAATGGTTGTTGACTTGATGGAGTTGTATTTGCACCGGCTAAAGCAAAGACGGCCTCCTTACCCGAAGAATGCTGCCGTGGCAGAGTTTGAAGCTCATTTTCCTTATGAACCCACTCCTGATCAGAAACTGGTAATGGTTTAGCAGTGTAAATCTGCACTTAATTTTCAACTTACATTGTTTCAAGTTGAGTTTACATAGAGTTGATTATCTTACAACTACCGTTCTGTCTTGCCTATTCGTGTAATACGAGATTTCTTCATGATCATGGTTAGTATGCTTGCATTTTGCACTTCATTCATCTTCCTGTCACCACTTGCAACTCATTCCATTTTCCTTGTTAGCTTTGGAAGTTGAATTTCTCAATTGTTCACGAGTTAGATACATGTTCCAGGCTTTCCGTGATGTTGAGAGGGATCTAACTGAGAGGCAAACTCCAATGGACCGATTGATATGTGGGGACGTTGGTTTTGGGAAAACAGAAGTTGCTTTGCGTGCCATCTTCTGTGTTATCTCAGCAGGAAAGCAAGCAATGGTTTTGGCACCAACAATTGTCCTGGCCAAGCAACACTATGATGTTATTTCAGAACGTTTTTTCTAAGTATCCTGATGTCAAGGTCGGACTTCTTAGTCGGTTTCAGGTATAAGCTTCCTATATCTCTTGGCCCTTCCATAGGTTTGTAGCCTGTTAGGAGCTCGTATTTCACTCAAGCGAAGAAGTTCTTTTTGAAAATGTAAATTCAAAGGTGTCATCTGAAACTATATTTTTCGTTCTTAAGCTCAGACAGTATGTTATTTGTCTGGCATCATGCATGCCTTCATGTTCAGTTGTTGGACTACTTATTCCCGATCGCCGGTGTCAGCATAAGATTGACATACACTTTATCAACTGCATACACTTTACCAAATGCAGACCAGAGCAGAAAAGGAAACTTATCTGGAAATGATCAAACATGGTGATTTGGACATAATTGTTGGGACTCACTCACTTCTTGGAAGCCGTGTTGTGTATAACAAGTTGGGTCTTCTTGTTGTTGATGAAGAACAGGTTTGTCTCTGGAACCCTTGTTGATCGTTATTATTTGGACATAGGTTGATCATTAAATTTGGAGTATTACTTGCTGTAACTAATCAAAGTAGAAAGATATACACGTACATGTAGACTGCAATTCCATATGTCCTGTAAGATTCTTGCATTTTGCAAGCTTACTCCTGCAGACTTGTATGTTATGGGTATGTATAGATCTTATGAGCGATAGTAATATGATTCTGTTGTTGTGATGACGTGAGAGGACTGAGGGAACATATGCAAAGTCTGGTTGTAACCTATAAACTCTATTGTTCTGTCCTCTTTTCCTGTTGTTGTAGGTCAGGTGAGGTTCATAAGGCCTTGAACGAGCATGCCCATATCCATGCTTGAAGTGCAAACACTAATTTAATGTCCATTTGCTTCCAGAGGTTTGGTGTCAAACAAAAGGAGAGGATAGCTTCTTTCAAAACTTCTGTTGATGTGCTTACTCTCTCAGCAACTCCAATACCTCGAACTCTTTATTTAGCACTCACCGGATTCCGTGATGCAAGGTATTATTCCAGTTTATGCATAGGAGTATTAGTGTTAGGCTATAAGTATTTTACATGAATTAGCTTTTTAAGATTTAATATATAACATATGTAAGTATCTTTGGAGGAATTCAGATCGTTAAGATATGTGGCACTATATAGTAAAATTAGCTATCATTGTAGGCTAGATGAAGTAATAGGAGATTGAATTGCTGTTAATTTGGATTTTGTTGTATGGGAAATGATAATTGTTCAAGGCAGCATCTTAGGTTAGAGAAGGACATGGACTTGTCCTCCTCCTGTTCAAACTGATTTCTCGATTGGTGGTTACTTTCTGGAAACTGCAATCATACATCAAGATTACAAATTAGCTCTTATTCTCTCTTTTTTTTTCCCCTAACTATGAAACATACACCTGGTTTCAGTTTAATTTCAACTCCACCACCTGAAAGGGTTCCTATAAAGACCCATTTGTCTCCATACAACAAAGAGAAGGTAGCATTGGCAGTAAAAAATGAGTTGGACCGGGGAGGCCAAGTGTTTTATGTCTTGCCACGTATTAAAGGTATTATTTGGAGTTACTTGTTTTTGGAATGCTGTTCTGATTTGCAATTTGGACTAGCATATTACTGATAACATGATTTGGTTGTGTAAACGCATCTGTGTTGATTTTGGGTGTGAAAGCTCAATGTCCACAACTTAGCTAGTCTTGCGCATTAATCAAATTCAACAGGTTTATTTTTTATGCACTTGCTGAGGTAAAAGTCAGTACTAGGATTACAGTGAGAGGGCTGAAAGAACCTCTAAGAGTCTAAGTGTCTCATTATGCATAATATGTTCAGTATTTCTTTCCTTTTTAGCTATTTGATTGGTCTTTACATAATTTTGGCGTAACAGGACTGGAACAAGTAAACGTCTTGTTGAACAATGATTTAGTTTATTCTCCTGTAATATTTGTTATTCTTGGGCTGACAGGACTAGAAGAAGTTAAAGATTTCCTTGAACATTCATTTCCTGATGTCGAAATAGCCATTGCACATGGGAAGGTAAGTTTGTCTCCGTTAATATTATGTTTTTTCATAGCTCTTATGTACTCTACGAGTTAATTAGGTTAGGTCATATAGCCCAGAGCTGACTGAGCTACCTTGTTTCTCGTGTTGCTTGATTCCTTCTGCTACCACCTTTAATGGCATACATACAACATGAATTAGCATTTCTACTTGTCCCCTATGCAGCTTGATTCCTTCTGTGATACTACACTTTGATTCTCATTCATGTTACTATTGCTCCTTTGTAGCAATACTCAAAGCAACTTGAGGACACCATGGAGAAATTTGCGCTAGGTGAAATAAAGATTCTCATATGTACCAATATAGTAGAAAGTGGGCTTGATATTCAGAATGCAAATACCATCATAATTCAAGATGTTCAGCAATTTGGACTGGCACAACTGTATCAGGTTCCACTCCGACAACCTTGTACATTTTTATGTTCTTGAGTTCAATTATTGTTGCTGACCAATGGCCAGACCATTTCTCGGAATATTGCCATGTTTTTTTCCTTCTAAAATGCTTGTTAATATCTTCCATGTCAGCTTAAGCAATGGCTGATGCATGTGTGATTCATTTTAAGCAGAAACACGATTATTCAATGAACCAATTGTCTTTCATCTCCAATCCATTAGACCCAACTTGTCATACTTTGCATATTGATTGCATCTCCTTGGTGTAGAAGTACATGTTGCTACATTTCTTTTCCCCTGCTACATCTATTCAGGTTACATGAACCCTATCAATCTACAAAATCTTAGATACTCGGGTTTCATTGCCATTGACGTTTTTCAATGTTATCACTGAAGTTACGTGGAAGAGTGGGCCGGGCAGATAAGGAAGCTCATGCTTACCTATTTTATCCCGACAAATCATTCCTAACTGATCAAGCCCTGGTATGTTATATGATTTCCTCAGCATCCGGGTTATGCCTACCATTGAAATTTTCGTGTGAACCTTGTAATCCTTTTAATTGTTCAGGAGAGACTGCAAGCAATGGAAGAATGCCGAGAACTTGGACAGGGTTTCCAAATTGCTGAAAGAGACATGGGTATAAGAGGCTTTGGGACAATCTTTGGTGAGCAACAAACTGGGGATGTGGGGAATGTTGGCATTGATCTCTTCTTTGAAATGCTTTTCGAGAGCTTGTCCAAGGTATATTAGTTGACCGCCTTCATTAGATCTTATTGTACTATGAATATGATGCTCTTTTCGGGCTTTTTTGTCTCCTATTTTCTTTATGCCTGTGGACTTGCTCTCTATGTGGCATAATTTTGCTCAGTGATCTAATAATAGACTGACAAGAGGTTGTCCTCTATAGAACGATTATCCAATACTCTGGGCTATCTGTTAGTTTTGCTGTTTTTGTTCATTTCTCCTCCACTCTCTGCTTTGAACTTAACAATCATCCCTGAACTTTATACAGGTTGAAGAGCACTGTGTGGTATCAGTTCCTTACAATTCTGTTGAGGTAATTACTGCATTCAGGCCTTTAACTGCTCGACGTTGAATTGCACAAAATGAGAATTCTGAGTGATCAAAATTAACCTATTTATATAGTATTACTTGACGAAGTTGTTAACCATGCCACTCCTTTGCCTCTTATCTGCTTGCAGATTGATCTGAATGTAAATCCCCATCTTTCTTCCGAATACATAAATTATCTGGAGAACCCCATTAAAATTATTGGTGAAGCAGAGAAAGCTGCAGAGAAAGACATTTGGAGTCTGGTACAGTTCACAGAGAATTTGAGGCGCCAATATGGAAAAGAGCCCCACACCATGGAAATTTTACTGAAGAAACTATATGTGAGGAGAATGGCTGCAGATATGGGGATAATGAGAATATATGCTTCAGGAAAGATGGTTGGCATGAAAACAAACATGAGCAGAAGAGTTTTCAAGCTGATGACAGACTCTCTGTCTTCAAATGTGCATGGGAACTCCTTGGTCATTGAAGGAGACATAATAAAGGTAAGCTTTGCTACTGCCTGGTTGGTAATGCACATCTTGTTCCTCAAATTTTGAGTTTGTCTAAGGAGTTCTTGGTCTGTGTAATATAACCGTAACCTGTCTTTTGAATGCTGTCTATATGATCAAAATCTATTCAGACTTTCGATGGAAATGAGATTCTGTCACAACCATGCTAATCCAGTCTCTTCCTACCATAACTTGCCTTTTACCCCTTGAACTTCTTTGCCTTAGTCCTGATCCATTCTAGATCTGAGGCATACGGAATGGTCTTCCGTTTAATACAGAAATATGAACTCAATAATTTTGTCCTGCTAGAATGGAATCACTAAGTTATATACTGTCGTTGCTGTGTGCAGGCAGAATTACTACTGGAGCTCCCAAGTGAACAGCTGCTAAATTGGGTGTTCCAGTGCTTGTCGGAACTTCATGCGTGTCTGCCTAACCTCATAAAATACTAGATTTGCATAGGTGAACCTTAGATAGGTGGTATTCTTTGGGAGCCTGCTTATTTAGCAGGTGATTGCATCCTTGTGCGGAAGCAGATCTTGGACTTGGATGTTAGTATATGTGGAGAAGATCCAGAGGGGAAAAAGTAAAGGGATTGATAAGTAAAACATGTACATGGTATTGGCTTGGCAGAGCGTTTTGCGCGGATTTGGTTTATTATTATGAGTTCTTAGGATTAGGTGGGTCAGTTGGAGATGTCAGTGTGGGATGGCCTAGACAGTGAAGAAGAAAAACTGTTAAGGGATGGTGAAGTAGATGTGGGTTACATTAGAGTATGATTACAAGGGTGGTCCTGGATGGAGGAGACACATGACATACTGCAATTGTACTGCCTTCCATCGAAATTTTGTTTTATATTCTTAGCCAGGTATGTTGCAGGGAGAGTAGTTGTTTATTTACTACATTTATTTAGCTCAACTGGTTACCTGTGTAGATATACATATTTATATACATTATTATTTGGTTTCTGTGTGTACTTACATAGATTTTAATGCTGATGAGTGTATGTGTGGAGGTGTTGAACCTTATCTCGACAATACTAATTTGATGAAGAAATCCAGTCGATACCCAGACCCAGACCAAGACTCAGCAGCAAGTAAATGTAACGTTTGCCAGGTACGACTGCCCTCTTTTCTTGTTTTTTACTTTGGCAAGTGAAGATAGCATTGGAACTTCAGCTTAAAATAAACGTTCTTTCTTCTTTGTGAAATAATGTTTCCACCATCAGCTGCCATGCTGCATCTTTACAAAGAGAACAATGACAAGCCTATAAATGAAAAGGGAGGGGAATAGAAAATGTAACTGAGAAATAGGGAAGACAAGCAACACATGAACATCAACCGAATCATAGTCGGCGAGGGATCCATCCATATTTATTTCTCAGTAACAGAATGTGATCATTTCGCTCTCCGTGTGCAGATTGTGCAGTTTGATCAGTTCAAAGCTAGACAGTGGACTTTCAGCTTGCTCTTATCCACTCATTCCCAACTTCGAGGCACCAACAGTATAAGGCCTTGTCGTTACCGCTGGGAATGCAGTAAGTTCTGTTGCGAAAAGGGTGGAAGCGACAGGACAGTTCGATGCTATGTCAAGGGAGGACTGCAGGTTCTGGGCAGTGATAAGGAGAACAAGCATTCTGAATCTCATCCATGTGGTAGAATGGAGATAGGAAGAAGCGTCTCACCAAATTTTCAGGGCAAAATGAACCCCAAATTTTCAGGTTTTGGACTCAACTGGAAGCAATCAGGTTATTTCCTTCACTGCAACAATTTCATAACTAATTAATGTATGAATTTATATGAAATCAGTCTCGCGCTCTTTTGGCAATTAATCAAACTGGTAGGGGACTGAAATTTATGGGAAAACAGAGGAGCGGTTACCTTGAGAATGAGATAGGAATTGAACCAGGACCTCGTCGGTGGAAGGGAGGAGGCGGCGGAGGAAAGTGGGCTCGAGGTAGATGATGCTACTCACGGCAATAATTGCCGCAGTGATGGGAGGGTTCAATGGCAATCTGTACTACTCGGTGGCGGAGCGAAGATGCCATCATTCTCGCACTGCTCCATCGAGATAGGTTAGGGATCGTCATGAATATGGAAACATGTAATTACCCACCTCCGGCTAGCTCCGATGCTGGAAAAGATTGGCGAACTGAAATGAAAGAGCATTCGTGCCGGGATCAAATAGCCGGCCTGAGCCAAGAATGTTGGGATGACGGCCTACTTCCTCAAGTTAGAAGTTCCTCTTTCACAAACCATTATTTTGAAACACTTCTCTGGAGTCTCTTATGAATTAATGATAAAAGTTTTAAGTGTAAATATACAAACAACATAGCAAGCAAAAGCCTAGAAGGAATGTGTAGCAGCATCATCACAAACGCAACACCTTAGTCATTGTCAGGAACTTCAAGCTCCTTTTCAATTTAAAAGCGGACCATTGTGCTACCTCCACTCTTTTTGTAACCAAGTTGATTCCATTTAGAGTCGGCGATTTGGCGACCTTAGACCCTTCATACCTTACCATCATTGGGAATGAGTGATATGATCGCGATGGAAGCTTGCTAATGGATGAACCAATAACCAAAGATGATCCGATGTTTCGTGCTGACATGATTGTCTTGGACACTCTGGTTGCTTGCTGCCCCTGCACTATTTAACAAGATGAACCAATAAGCAAAGATGTATATACTGAATGAAAGTAGTAGGAACATAGATAAAAGGACGATTTCACGAGACCTTAACACATGGAGTTGTCTTCAACTGTGGCACAAATGACAATGAATTTTCTTCTATATCGGTTTTGTTGACACGTGCTTTGCTCGAGAAACTAAGACAACCCACACCAAATACAATTAGCGACAACAGAAAATTGCAGCAGCGAATAGGCATAATGATTCAACTTGACAATAGCCATGCATCCTATCGAAAGGGGTCTTAAGAGATGATTGGGAATGGCCAACAATCTTCTTCGTTGCATCAAAACCCCACCTAGAACTAGAGGTGACAAATATGTTGGTTCGTTGTGGGGCGAGTCATTATTGATATGAATAGGTTAAGCCAAAAGGCAAAAAACATTCCTAATTTCACAAATAGAGAGCATGCTCGTTATGAGTCACAACGCGTGCTGTCTCGGATTTGGATCATGTTTGAACTTGGAACCACCATCCCTAATCCCTATCATGAGTCAAAAGGGAAAGATAGAAAGCAACATCAAGGCGTACCATTCCAAGTGATTGACACATCTGTCCTGGGATGTTAACACAAAACCTGAGTCTTCAAGCAAGGATGCAACATCACCTATAATCATCTTCAAATCCCTACATTCCTGAATTACCTGCGGGAAGAAGCCAAAATCCAGAAAGGAAAAACAAGAAGCCTAAGTACCAACGTGCATTTGAAACATGAATAAATATGCATTAAACTCGCTGATGACGGGAGATATCATCTTCGACACGACATACCTTATATCTTGGAGAGTGAAGATACCGATGAATACGTTCCGAAGAGTTTTCAAATATCCGTGCTAATAGAAATGCAGAAGACAGAACCGATTTTTTCTCCTTGAGAATCTGAACAGTAACATTGTCCTCACTCTTTCCTGTCAAGCTGATTTCTTCATCGAGAACTCTCCTCGAAGCATGCAGTAAAAAGTCATACAAGTTTGGGGTATACTCCATATAGTCCCTAGTATGGTAAGAAATTTGAGGACCAAGTGGATGGTCAAACTGAAGAAGGACTCGTACGGCCATTAGAGCTGCAGTGAACTCAACAATTCGCCCCTCCGTGATGTAGATAAAACATAGTTTTGCAAGATAGGTGGGGTGGAGGACTTTCGCAGGCTTACCATACCCGAGCTCCAACTGCAACATGCATTGCATCTTTTCTACCTGCATGTGTTTCCAAAATCATATTACATTTTGGAGGAAAAGAAAGATTTGAGAGACACAACTAGCCAGAGTGGAAAACAAACAAACCAACCAAGTCAGGAAGACAAAATATGAAAAGCAACTTGAAAGCTGACTCTTGGGGGTTCCAATCCTTCAGACAAGGATGATAGCTGCATCACAACACCAACAACAGACATTGGTGAATCATACACATTTGTGAATGGTACTCAAGCCCCAAATCAAGAATGGAACTTTATCATTTTTGTTAAGAATGCAGATAAAACCAACAAGTAGTTAGCAGAAAATACCATAAATTCTCTATAGCCCTGTTGAATTCCGAATCAAGAATTTCACTTCTGCACACACTGGTGGGTCGAATTAAAAAGGCCAAATACCCTGATCTTGGCCTTCAATATACAAAAGCTCGGTTAACTTGGAGGAATAATTCATTAGTACATAGTTACAACAAAGAGAGCTATAAAGACAAACAACAAGGGAGTTGAAGGCTCATATATGAGAAACTCAAGGCAGGCGTTGGTCGAGTGCTGCCATAGCTAGGCTGCTACCATAGATATAGGCTGCTGGGATAGAGATAGTTACCGGTGACAGTGCATCATATTACGGTTGACCGGTCCGCTAGGGCTGTCGAGGCGACCAAAAGGGAGGGAAAAGAAACAACACATAGTTAAAACTTAAAACTAACATCTGAAATGAGAGATAGACATGAAGTCAAACAAAGAAAGACAGCCGTTTGGCTCGGATAGTTGATTACTATGGATAGTTAATCTCGGAATCTTGGGTGGATATGATAGGGCTGCCAAGGCAACAAAAACAGACAAAGATATAGATTATTATTGTATTACAAAGATTGAAACTTTATACAACAACAACAACAACAACGAAGTAGAAGGAAGTACCAGTTCAGAGAAGTTAAAGGGATCCCAGCTCCTTCTAAGATAGTCTGGACCTGTTGAGCAATTGGGGAACTGGAAAGATGCTGTTTCTCTTTTTCTAGCAAAATTGGGATTAAGTTAGACAATTGGGTGCCAGCTTTCTGAAAGACTTCAAGTAATAGCAGGGAAGAGGTGAGGATTGACCGCTTTTCCTGCAAAGACTTTATCAATTGGGGATCATCGCCATCGCTGCACCACCGGATGTCGGCGACCACGAAAGCAAGTTGAGAGGTAAGGAAATCGCGGAGGGAGTAGTCTTCCAAACGTGAATGCTGAAACTCCAAGCGTCGAGTTAGGCAATGCAAGAATGTTGGGGAGAGAACTCGGTCAGGGACAGCAAGGAGAAGCCAGAGCAGCTTCGCCGCCAGGCCATTCCTTGCATACCGGAAGATTTTCATCTCCAGGTCTTTATCCTTGGCGCGTCCGAGCAGCTTTACCGTGCGCCACCAGTTGAAATTGTCGGCGTCGGAGATCCATTCCGGCAGCCAGAGGATCAAATCGGAGAGGAGGAGGGCGCCGCCGCCGCTTTGGCTTTCCTCCATCTTCTTGTTCCATTCATTGCAACTGGTCTCGAGCGCGTAGTCGATGGCACTCGTTTCAAGTTCTTTGGGTTCGAAGCTCGAAAAAACATGGTAGGGACGAACCCAATGGCGAATCAACAGCTCGATCGCCTCGTGAAACCCTAACTTAGCAGCATAATGCAGGGGCAGTTGGCAGTTCCCCACCGGTCCGCGGATATCCAACCGATTGTGAGCGATTTTCCGCTCCAATAGTGCGGTGATGCAACCAATTGCTCTCGACTGAATCAACTTCGCCACCACCTCAGGAGGGCAGCATTTAGATTTAGGATCCAAACTCGCTAAAAATGCTTCCACATCATCCTCTTCCACCGCCTCCTCCTTCACCATGGTAATCCAATGCAGCTCCGACGTCCGGCGCTCTGTAACGGTAGAAAGCCAGAGGAATTGAGAGAGAGAGAGGCGGCGGAGAAAGAAGATTCCTTTCTTTCCGGATTTATTTAGGTAGACAATCCCAATGAGAAGAGACTTGATTGATGGTTCACTTTCGCGGTTCTTTTTCCCTCTTCTTCTTTTTATCTGGTTTAGTCCCTGGATCTGGTGACTAAGGGGTGTTTAGTCACCCTCCCAGCCCTTAGATCTGGACACTTCAATCTAATGGTTAAAAAGTGGGAAGGGTTATTTAATTAATGATAGGGGTAGTTTGGGTATTATGGAAAATTACGAAGTATACAAACCGGATTTACAATCAATACAAACCATACAAACATACGAACAGTACAAACTAGAGCACAAAACATACAAACGTTACAAAAGTATGAACTGTACAAACAATACAAACTAGACCGACAAACAATACAAACCATACAAAAAGAAAAAACAACCGGGTTGACTTTTGAGGCTCCATCCCTATATAGAGGGGCTCCTTCCCAAAGTCAACCCGGGTGTTTTTTAGACATACAAACAGTACGAACATGGTGGACAAAAATGACAAACTAGACCGACAATCCATACGAACAGGAAAAAACACCCGGGTTGACTTTAGAGGCTTCATCCCTATATAGAGGGGCTCCTTCCCAAAGTCAACCCGGGTGTTTTTTAGACATAAAAAACATTACGAACATGGTGCACAAAAATGACAAAGTTTACAAACATGGTTAACAAAAATAACAAAGTTTACAAACATTACAAAAAAAGCCGACAAACATTACAAAATAACAAAGCATACAAACATTACAAAATATGTCAACAAACATCACAAAATTAACACTGTCGCCGGGAAATTCTTCTCCGGCGACGATGTTCGTTGAAAAAAATTTCCGATCAGAAAATTGTCCGACCAAAAAATCTCTCTCTCTCTCTCTCTCTCTCTCTCTCTCTCTCTCTCTCTCTCTCTCTCTCTCTCTCTCTCTCTCTCTCTCTCTCTCTCTCTCTCTCTCTCTCTCTCTCTCCTCTCGCTCTCTCTCTCTCTCTCTCTCTCTCTCTCTCTCTCTCTCTCTCTCTCTCTCTCTCTCTCTCTCTCTCTCTCTCTCTCTCTCTCTCTCTCTCTCTCTCTCTCTCTCTCTCTCTCTCTCTCTCTCTCTCTCTCTCTCTCTCTCTCTCTCTCTCTCTCTCTGGAAATTCCCCATGGGAAATAATGGCCCCTAGGAATTCAATTCCCCTGGCCGCGCAATTATAAAAAACGGAGACGGGGAGGCGCCGGCCGGCCGGGCTGGGTTTTTATTTTATTTCTTTTATAATTAAAAATAAACATGTAATTACTACATTGCCCTTCATTAAATTGAATTAATAGGAGCCCTTGGATTTTAATGAGGTGCAAGGGTGGAGATTCACTTAGCCATGTGACTAAGGGGACCCCCTTAGTCACCAGATCTTAGCCCGTCCCTGGAGTAGTCGGCTGTTTTCAATTTGAGCCGTCAAATTTTGTTTTTGCAATTCAACGCCATTTGGTCATTCCTCCAAACAAGAAACAACTTTCATACCTCCCTGGAAATGTCGATGGTCCTCTGGGAGGTCGATCCATGATTGGACTTATCTTCAGATACCCTCAAAGAGGTGAGCATGAGGATTAAGAGTGGAGTCGAGTCCCAATACATATCCACTGATACTAGTTAATTCTACCATCTATGAATACAGCTAAGGTGCATCAAAAGAATATTTATATGTCGTTCAGAACCATGTCATTACTCTCTTTATCACTCTTAAGAACCTCCAACTTTTCCCAGATGCATTTTCCAGCTGTTTTGTTCCCTTAAGTTTTTTCACAACAAAATTTACCTTATTTGTTAAAGGTAATGATGAGGGCTTCGATCCTTCGAACCTCGAAATCGAGAATGAGTGATAAAATCGAGCTGAAAGTTTGCCAATGGGTGAAGCAACGAACGTTGATCGTTCTATGGTTCTTCTGGAAATTGTCACCGACTTTGTTGTATGCGAAAGTGGTTCAAATGATGATGATCTTCCTTCTAACTTGGTTTCGTCGATACTAGATTTGCTTGAGAAACTATGAACATACAAAAATATACAATTAGCAATATAAAAAGGCAAAATGGATCGAATCATACATAACATTTTGCACACTAATATTATCGGTTTCGAACCCTATGTCATGTATTTTATGGAATTAAAGACAAAAAACATGACAAAGTGCATACCATCTTAAGTCTTTCACACAAGTATCTTGAGATCTCAACACAAAGCCGACGCCTTTTAGCAAGGAAGCAACATCGTTTACTATCAGCTCCAAATCTCTAACTTTCTGTGGGAGCGCAAAACAATACATTCAAGGGAGAGTGACTAACTTCTATGTTTGACGATCATCAAATGAAAATGAGATTATAGATACGAAGTACACACCTTATATCTTGGTGAGTGAAGATACCAATGAATATCTTGCGCAGATGTATCAAATATCTTTATTAGTAGGAAAGCCGAAGATATCACCGATTTTTTCTCCTTGCAAATCTGAATAGAGTCATTGTCCTTAGGTTTTCCTGTTAAGCTGATTTCTTCATCAACCACTTTCATCAAAGCATGCAGTAACAATTCATATACAGTAGGGAAATGAGATTGATGAGGATGATCCACATTATTAAAGCTATTACGAGATGTTTGAGGGCGTAGTGGATAACCCAACCGAAGAAGAACTTGTGTGGCCATTAGAGCAGCTGTGAACTCAACAATTCTGCCCTCCCTAATGTAGATGAAGCATAACTCAGCAAGATACGCACGTTGGATAATAGTTGAAGGGTTGACGTACTTGGACTCCAACAGTATCATGGATTGCATCTCTTCCACCAGGTCAGGGAGGCAAAATATAAAAAGCAACTTAAAAATTGACATTTGGGATGTCCATTCCTTCAGGTAAGGATGATGGCTGCAGAACAATGACAGAGAAATCGATCAAACAAAATCATTGGAAAGATCCTCTGCTGCATGAAGAAAAATAACAACAATTTCATGTTTGTAAGGGCACTACATAATCAAAACAATTGGTGAACACAGTGTACCATAACTTCTTGATGACCTTGTTGAAGTCTGAATCAAGGATTTTACTTTTGCAGACATGCGGTGGTCGAATCAAGAACTCCAATTCAGGGTAGTCGTCTCTTTGGGGAGTCCTACAAGGCCACCGGACCATGCAACCCAGTTAAGTTTGGGTATGCATCGAACAGAATCAGGAGAAGCCATGTATATATGTTGAACTTGGTTTGATATTGTTTGTCAAGGCCTCAAGGGTTAGTTATTGGGATACTTACCAGCGATAGTCAGGCTCCGGCTTATAGTTCCGGTGAGCGACTCTGACCGGGCTGTCAACAAACACAAGGCAAAGTACTTTAGACACATATATGCATTCTACATGGACAAAATTAACAAATTAAGTACCAACGGAGAGAAGCCATAGTAAAGCCAGCTTCCTTGAGCACAGTCTTGATTTGTTGAGCAATTGGGTAATCGGGAAGAAGGGGATACATTTGCCTCTGCTTTTCCCTTTCCCTTCCCTTTTCCTTTTCCTTCTCTAACATTTCCATCGAGTGACACAACTGGGGGCCAGCCCTGCGGAAGACTTCGAGCAAACGCAGGGAACAAGTGAGGCTCAACATCTTGTACCGCAAATGCCCGCGGATCGAATCAGGGCGGGGAGGACGATTGCGATCGATGGTGTGATCAATGTCAGTAGGAAAACGACGATTAGGTTCGATGGTGAAGCTAAGGCCGGTAACAAAAGCAAGCTGGGCAATAAGGAAATCGCGGAGGGACAAAGAGGCGGTTCCAAACCGCTGCTGGAGAAGGGTGTCCCTGAAGAATGTTGGGGAGAGAACTCGGTCAGGGACGACAAGCAGGAGCCAGAGCAGCTTCGCGCCTTGGCCGTTCCTTGCATACTGGAAAATCCTCATCTCCAGGATCCCCTGTTCGGTGGTGCGTGCCAGCAGCTTGACCGTGTGCCACCAATTGAAATATTCGCTGATCCATTCGGGGAGCCAGAGCATCAAACTACAGAGCCTTTGCGGATAATTAATATCGTACCGGCCTAGCAAATCCCACTGGTCGTCACAACTGGAGTATAATGCGTAATCGATGGGAAGCCGCCCTGGTTGTCCATGACTCGGAGGAACCCCGTGGCGCAAAAACAACCCGACCGCCTCATGAAACCCCATCCAAGCAGCCGTAGATATGAGGGGTTTGTTGCAGCTAGAAAAAGCAAACAGATCCAAGCGATTGTGAGGGAGTTTGCGTTCGACAAGGGCGGTGAGGCAACCGATTGCTCGTTTATCTAACAATTTTGACACAGTCCGACTGGGGACTGTTTCATGGTTAGGGTCCAACGACGCCAGAAAGGCTTCCACATCCTCCTCCTCCTCCTCCTCCTCTACCTCCATAGCTGATCATAAAGATGATAAAGCACACCAAATGGTTAGTGGGTTAATGGAATTAAATAAGTAAAGGGAAGAGGTCACGACGGACACGAAGTGAATCATTCATAATAAAAAAAACCGCAGGGAAAAGTTTGCCTAACCGTAGTCCGAGAGAGGACGGAGCTTCTTTTTGTAGATGCCTGTGACGCCGTCATCAACTTCGAGTGAGCTTTCCCAGATCCATTCTCTATGAGAACTTACGTGACCTCCCAACGATCTGCCACTACGGAAGCGCTTGCCGCAGTATTTGCATAGGTGCTTCAACTCATCATTGTCTTCCATGGATTCGGGATTCTGGATGAGTTGATCGCTTGTGGCTGTAGCAGAAACAGAGCAACAATAATGAAACAGGGGAAGTTAGGAATGGAAAACAGGGGAGATGGATGGATCACACCAATTGTCTGCTGCTTGCAACTTCTTCTCTCTTTGATAACGAGCGAGCGAGCGAGCGAGGAAGAGAAGACCGGAAGAGGGAGAGGACAGTTGGGTAAACGTGACGAGAGCCGAAAGGCGAAGGAATTTTTGTTCGGGTAGGAAACCAACGCAGGCGGCGGCGCAGAAGATTTAGTTCGTTAGTTAGTTACTTAGTTAGAGGCCTTGGCGCGTTAATTCATTCATTATCTTATTTATATAAAACTATCATTAATTCCTGGCAATAACCCGATTTCAAATTTTCAATGTGTTAATGACATAAATATTGTCGGGAGGAACTACTACAAAGGAATTCAGGCCTATCAGTTTATGCCGTGTGATTTACAAGATCATCTCAAAGATTTTGGCAAATAGATTAAAGAACATTCTGGACGAAATCATTTCTGAGGAACAAAGTGCATTTGTGCCAGGAAGAAGTATTACTGACAACATGATAATTGCTTTTGAATGCTTCCAGTTTATGAAAACAGGAAAAAAGCAAGAGACGGCTATTTTGCAGCAAAGCTCGACATGGCCAAAGCCTATGATCGAGTTGAGTGGTTCTTTCTTGAGAAGGTTATGAGGAGATTGGGGTTTGAAGAAAGGTGGATTGACCTTATTATGAAATGTGTCTCCTCTGTATCCTACTCTATCCTTGTGAATGGTCATAAAACAGAGAGTTTTCAACCTACTAGGGGATTACGACAAGGTGATCCTCTATCACCTTATTTATTTTTGCTCTGCGCGGAAGGCCTATCTGCTCTAATTAAAAAAGCGGAGAAGGAAGGGAAACTTCATGGAATACAGATCAGGAAAAAGGCCCCTAATATTTCCCATCTTTTATTTGCAGACGACAGTGTGGTTTTTGGAAGGGCCTCACTTCGAGAATGTGATGAACTTAAAAGAATTCTGACCACTTATGCAAAAGAATCAGGTCAGCTTATTAATTTCAGCAAGTCAGAGATTTCTTTTAGTGGCAATGTCAGGGTGAGCAGAAGACTGGAAATATGTGGAACCCTTGGAATCAAAGAAGTTCTAAAACATCCGAAATATATGGGGCTTCCTACTATCGCTGGAAGATCGAAGAAAGTAATGTTTGAAGAGATAAAGGAAAGAGTAAGGAAGAAATTAAAGGATTGGAAGAGCAGGACCATGTCACAAGCGGCCAAAGAAGTTCTGATTAAGGCGGTAGCCCAAGCTCAATGCCTCTATCCTATGGCTGTGTTCTTTATTCCTGATGGTATTCTTAAGGACATTCAGAAAATGATTTCAAATTTCTGGTGGGGACAGAAAGGAAAGGAACCAAAACACCACTGGCTAGGATGGGATGACTTGTGTGATGACAAGGAGGTTGGTGGAATGGGATTCAAAAACCTCCGAGCTTTTAATCTGGCGATGCTGGGAAAACAGGTTTGGAATGTGCTCTCTCGCCCTAACTCACTGATGGCTAGAACTCTCAAGGCAAGGTACTTTCCAAAATCCGACATTTTAAATGCAAAGGAGGGTTATATGCCTAGTTTCATCTGGAGGAGTATTTGGAAAGCAAAAGAGAAAATCAGGGAGGGATTCAGATGGAGAGTTGGAGACGGAAAATCTATTAGCATTTGGGAAGATGCCTGGATTCCGGGAAAAAGTTATTACTTCGCTGATCCCCAACCAAATGGTGGAAGTGAGGATGAAAAAGTATCCACTCTCATTGATAAAGATAGAAATGCTTGGGATAAGGAAAAGATTAATGGGATGTTTTCGAAGAATGATGCTGATCTTATTACAAAGATTCCTCTCTGCTACCCATTGAAGAAATACTCCAGGTTATGGATCGATTCTGATGATGGAATCTACTCGGTCAAGTCAGCTTACCGAAGAATTCATGGGGAGATGGCTCACAACTCATTCAGACCTAATACTCTCATAGAAGAAGAAAAGGATTTCTGGAAGGCCCTTTGGAAAACACCTATCCCTACTAAAGTTCGTCTGTTCTTATGGAGAGTGGGTAGAAACATCTTACCAGTGGGCAGCAACATTGAGGAGTGGTTTGAAGACACCAGTATGGAATGCCCATTTTGTGGGTTGCCGGAAACACAGATCCACGCCCTTCGGGAGTGTAGCTGGATTAGACGCCGCTGGGAAGATTGGGATGAAAGGAACCTGTTTGACATCGGAGAAGGAAAAGCATGTCTGGATTGGATTAAGGAAGTCTGGAAGAAATCAGCTGAAAAAATTCAAAAGTTTGGAGTGGTGCTGTGGTACCTTTGGAAAGAAAGGTGTAATCACCTCTACAATAATCACAAATTGGATGAAGACTTGATTATCCTCAAAGCGCTAGGATGGCTTCAATCCTATCTTGATGCTCAGTCATTGGGGAAGGGTGAGGATTCCGCGAACAGAGCTATGATTCGACCGACTTCTTCAAGGGGGTGGTCTCCGCCGCCAGAGGGTTCGTACAAATTGAACACTGACGCTGGTATTCTTAGCCCGTCGGGAATTGGCCTTGGAGGGGTAATTCGTGACTGGAGAGGGTCCTTCTGTGGTGCTATGGCGAAGAAAGAAAGAGGGTCGTGTAGACCGATTGAAGCTGAAGCAAAAGCTATTATCATGGGATTGAAGGAAGCGAATAGAAGGGAATTCAGTCCCCTGGTGGTGGAATCGGATTGCATGGTGCTTTTAGAGAAATTAGAGAAGAAGAAAGAAGATTTTTCTGAGCTTGGGACATGGTGTGAAGAAATCTGGAAGCTTGCTAGAGCAAATGAGAGTCTGTCGGGGGAGAAGATAAGATGGAGGTTCACGCCACGTGCAAACAACTCCACGGCACATTGGCTTGCTCATGCGACGTCGGTTTGGGATAGGCAGTTTATTTGGGTGGACTGTCCACCGTTGAATCTTCTTTGTCACATTGAGGCCGATTTGAGGCCATCTGTTTCGGGCCCAGTTTGATTAAATAATATTACGAATCCAGGTTCCTATAAAAATATATATATATATATATATATATTGTCGGGAGAAGATAGGGTGCTAACTTCATAGCAGTTAGCACCATCCTAACTCCTTTAATCAACATTCATTAATTATAAAGTAAATCTGACGGTGAAGTGCAATGGAGGGTATATTAGGTATTTTAAAAATTTAAAATTAATTAAAAATAAAAGTTAGAAATATATTTTTTCTCTCTATAATAATGATTTGCTATGTTAAGAAATAACTGTTGAAAAAGCACTACTACTTAAATTAGTAGTGATTTAACTTAGATGTTGTTGTGATTTTATACCAGTTGTTAGGGGTTTTATTGTCATTGGTAGCTTTTTATAATTAGAAGTTAATTGTTAATATTTATAATGAACACGAATGAAAATGAAAAGTACTATAAATTAATAAATAGTACGATAGCTATACAAAATATTTCAAATAATTATCCAATATCACTGCTAATTACAATAAAAATCACTACTCATACATATAAAACCACTACTACACAAACACTACCACCCAAAATAACTACTCAATAGAAACAATCTCGGCTTTAATCCCATTCGCACAGCCAGGGATATTGAAATTCCATCAGCGCCGCCATTTCCCTTGGTTTGGAACCCTAGCAGCACCGAGCTTTCCCAAGGGGTGATAGCAGATCTATAAAGGTTCTCGTGGTGATAGTAGATCTGGCCAGCGAAGGATAACGGTGATGATGGCGGAGATGGGAGAGTTGACGTACGTCGGCTGGAGAGATGTGATGATAGTTTCTTTAGCGGATCTGGACACCAATGGAAGCACGATGTTGTCGTCGCTGCCGCTTCCGCCTAGGCGAGGCTTGATATGAAACTCGCTCGACCTCGACTGTTGGCAGAGACGAAGATGGTGGAAAGGCTAACGAAGTAGGCGACGACGACGAAGGTTCGGGCGGCGCATCGCTGGTTCTGACACTCTCATCGCACAAGAGACGAGGCAGAGTGAGGAGTTGGTTCGTGTGTGAGATGTGGGTTTGTGGGAGAGGGGAGGCGGTTAAATAGTATTTATATTAGGGTTTAGGTGGGTATTGACTAAACTATCCATGATTTAATTTTGTTCATAGGATTATTTTTTAATGTAATGGCTATTAAATTAGTTAGGATGGTGCTAACCCTTTAAAGAGTTAGTACCCAATCCCATTCCAATATTGTCTTTTTTTTTTAATTTATCACAAATATGGCGGTTTAAAAATTATTGACACATATATTGTATTTTTTTGTAGGGTTGAAGTGTGTCCGCCGAGACTCAGGCGCTGGCGCGTTTTGAGTTTTTTCTAACGAGTTGAAAGCGCCCGAGATTGAAGCGTGCCCGCCCAAGACTCAGGCGCTGGCGCGATTTGAATTTTTTCCAAAAATTTAATAGCGCCATCTCCTGAGACTCAGGCGTCCTCGCATCCCTCTTTTCTTATCTTCTTCTCCACCACTCACCAGTCTCGCCCGCCCGAGATAAAGAAAGAACACAACATCGGTCGTCCCCCCGACCCCCACACCCACCAGTCCGAGACGGTAGCGCCGAGCAAGGAGGCTGCAGGGAAGGTAGGAGGATTTTCATATCTCCAAATTGTTATTTTGTGTGTGAATTGCCTTTGATTAGATATGGGTGCTTCGTTATTTTGGTACCAGTGCTAAGCACGCTGGAAGAGATGGTTATGCAGATAGTTCTGTGTTTTATTCCCGTCTGGTTTTGGATGTAGATTGACTTTTATTGTGGGTTACTATGGAGCTAAATTCTTTAGCCAAACACAGCGAACCCTCCAGAAACAAACCAGACAATACCAAGGTAGTCATGGTTAACCAATGGCAGAGGTCGGAAACGCCAAATCAGGTATCCTTTCAGCTTATGGAGTTAGTGTTTCCTTTGCTTGAAGATTGTATGTTATACTGATTGTGTTGTTGCTAGAAGAGAGGATCTTTCGGGTTGCCCTTATTCACCCATCTAAATATCTTTTTGGGTTGCCCTTATTCCATCTAAATTCCATCTACATATAAATATAAGTGAGAGAGCTATGAATGAATTTAATAGCCATACTAGGTGAAATTTGAGTTCCTTTAATTTTGTGGCGAGAGTTAGAATTGGCAAATTCTTTTTTGTACCAATATTTTATATAGTCATTTATTGAAAGCGTCAACAATCAGATTTTTCGACAAGCTGCCTGCAAATGCAACCCCGGTTCACCTTTGGAGCGATTCTCCAATTTTGCTTGAAATATTTGTATCTTCGTCCTGTCTCGAATTCATCATCAGACAACTCTCTTTGCTTTTGAGATTTGTGTCGTTGTCATCCTCAAGTGCTGACGACACTACTCATACCCTGAATTCGTCTATGCTAACTTCAGTAGCTCCATTGGTTCATGTGCTTAGAGTTTTGTCATAACTGAATAGTTTTAGAAAACAAAGTTGGCCATTATTTCTTTCTGTAATGAACCCTTAAGCTTATGCTGTTAAATCTATATAGTTAAACTTAATAAACTTAGTTTTTTGTCCACTACTATTTCAAATATCCATACTAAACTTAAATTATACCAATGAATGCAAACTTTAAAGAACTAAGTATATGACAATGATTTGTAAACTTTTGCTCAAAGAAAGATTTCAATTCACATCCTCTATCACGAGTGTTGAACTTAAAGGTGCTATTGAGGGACTATGGATTGCTTGGGAGAGAGGGTAAAGGAAAGACTAGCGCAAATAGGACTCGACTGCTGCAATTAATATTGCCAAAACCTGTTTGATGATGACCATCGTCACAGGATCGTTGCAAGATAGTTCTACATCCTACTTAATCTGGTGTGGGAGGTATGAATAGATAATGTGCATAGAGAAGTTAATTTGCAGCTGATTTCTTAGCTAATAGGGGTCACTTTGTTAATTTTGGCACACATCGTTTCATATGTGTGTGATCCTGGTCTTGGATGATGGTTGTTACACGACATCATGGGCATTGCTCATGATCGTTCTATTTTTAATATGAATTAGACGCTATTACGTCAATCTTTCACACAAAAAAAGAGTTAAATTCATTTCCCTCATTCACATTGAAAATGGTAAAAAATTCAAAAATACATGTCAATTTCTTATATTATATGTAATTATATAATTCGTGTCATGATCAACAAGAAAGATAAAAATTGAAAAAAGAAATTCATGTATACTTTGAATTCCATTAAAGTACGATCATTTTCTTTTATGGTGAAGATTGATTATGTATGTATCATAGGAAGCAACTCACACATTATATATGGACTGTTTATATGTGCAACACTTTGTTTGAAACATATGCGTTACTATTGGATGCATTCCTTTGTTAGTCATTTTGACTTTCTCGTGTTTTCAATAGGTTCTAAGTATACTCAAAGTAATTTGAGTGTTTGACTAGAAAGTTCATAGCCAAATGCAAAACAAAATAAACATCATTAGTATAAATGGACATACAAATTACATAACCATCGAACTTTACCGGCCAACAGGTTGGCCCTGTGCTAGTTTTGAACAAAGAACACACACATTTGAAAGCGAGAGGAGAGGAAAACGGGTTAAGGATAATAGTAAAATCATTGTACAAGTAGAACACACTTCATTAGCATTGTCTAACTATTTTTATTATTATTTCAAATCATTTTTAAAATATGTTATAGCTTGTTTTTAAAAGAACTAGACAACCATATCATAAAGTATAAATCAAATTAGAAAATCCACAATGCATATTATGAAAGTATACAAATTGTGCAATTATTAATACTTTAAAAGAACAAGAATTCTATTGTTCCATAGTGTCACATCAAAGTTAATTTTTTATTAATTAAAATCAGCCAGTGGGATTAAATTTTATTAATTAATCAATCTATTTTTCTTAATGCTTTCTTTCTCTCTTCCTTTCTTTATTATGTGCATAATTCTCATTAGTACTTTGTGGTTAGGTCATGAGTTTGTACACAATAATACATTTAGTAGTTTTAAAGTGTTGATGTCATAAGCATTGAGTAACCAAGAATTTGAAGTGCTTGCCCATTTGGTTTTATGCAGGAGGCGAAAATTATGTGAGATCTCTATTCTGCCAGTATTTTCTAGAGAGATTTTATAGTATCTAATTAAAGGACTAGGTTATTCATGAAAAAGGCAAATTGGAAGATATGAAGTGGAGTGTTGTTTTTTGTGTTTCATATTTTGAAGTAGCAAAACATATCCTTCCTACTTCTTGCTATGTTTTTTTGCTCTGAATGTGACTACAGTAGGACGTAGGTCCAGTATTGTATTAGTGTCTCACTTCATTTCTACATGTCCTGACTTTCTTGCTAATAGCAATGTGTTCAGTTGGAAAATTATGGATGGAGAACTCAGTAGTGAATTGGACCGGACGATGGTTTGTCTGCATTGAAAGCAAGATCAACTGCAATCCAAAGTGTATATACTATTTCTACGCGAAGCGAGCGGGCAATGACTAGTAACTATATAAACCATCATTAAGTATATATCTGCTGATCCAGCAGCTTTCTTGCATACTGGAAGATCCTCATCTCCAGGACTCCTATTAATAACTCCGGCGATGGTTTCTATTTTCCCGCAGCGACAATAGGCGATGACGAGCAGCCGCAGGCAAGTCGGCGGTTATGTGCAACGAGGAGAGTGAGGGTTGCGGCCGCTAAGGAGTTCCGCCAGGGAGCTGCGTCGACGGGGTCCCATCAAAATTGATTTATCTTAATTCTAGATAGATTTTTTTTAAATAAATTTTTAAAAGATATATGTAGGATAAACTTCATTTCAATTATTAAAATTTTAATTATTATATTATTTGTATATATAAACGTATAAATGACTCAAACCGGTTGGACCCCGATCAGACCAATAGATATCAAATCTCTTGCTTGACCGGCTCAATGACTTAAATCGGTTTGACAATATTTAACATGTTGGCCAATCTTTTCGATCTATAACTTCGTGGCTTCAACTGTGCTTTAAATATATGAAATTGGCCAAACCAGAGAATTGACCGTTATGTTGGACACTAAAACCATTGACTAACGGTCAACTCGCCGTGTCACTGCCAAATCAGCACAAACCAACTTAAATTTTTTTATTTTTCCACCTATTATCATTTATCTTTTTTATTTTGAAAAAAATAGAAACAAAATTTAATGTTACTCTATATTCTAGTAAGGAACAGTGAATTATACTTGCACTTATATAATATAATAATAATTATTATTATTTATAATTGTTCATAATGCAAATTAAGAGCATTATGTAAGAATATACAAGTTTGGAGTTTGTTCAAACGCACTTTATATTTTTCTAAAAGAGAAATGACAATATATGAAATGACAAGAGAAATTATAGTAACTATATAATAGCTATATACTCTAACTAAACCACCTAAATCAATAGTAATGCTCTGTTTGGATAGAGGCGTAAATGTTGGGGGCGGAAATCCCAGGGGTAAATGCCCTTCCAGATAAGTTTGCACATGTTTGGGAAGTTTTTGAACAGTAGGGGGCGGATGAATAGAGGCGCAATTCTACTGTTCTAGTGTACCCCCAAATTGAGGCGGAAGTGGAGAGAGAAAAAGCTGAACGATTTCTCCTTTTTTCCTGAAATTTTTTATTATCTCTTTCCTCCGTCAAATCTGCCCGTGAATTCGCCTCTGCTGGCGTGAGAAAGAAGCCCACACCGCCGCCGGTAACACCTAAAAAACAGAATTCATAACCCAGAATCAAGAAAAGTCGTCAATATATACCCAAAAATCATAGAATTAACCCAAAAGAAACATGCATGCCCAAAGCGTTACCTAATCTAGAATTCAGATCCCCTCTCTCCTTTCGTCGGCGGCTTCTGATCTCCCGCCCTCATCATCGTCGCTATTCCGATCTCCCCCGGAGAAAAATCGTCGGAGTTGTGGGAAGATCGACGGTAGCGGCCGGAGAGCTTGAGGGATTGGATTGGTGAGATAGATTAGAGAGGAAGAGAGGGTGTCGGAGAAATCAGAGAAGGGAGATGGAAGGCTGAAAGACAGAGGAAGAAGATACGTTGCAGATTTGGTGTGGATTTGGTCGTCTAATTAGTTTTGTCAAAAAGGAAATTAGTGAGAGAGAGAAGGAATAATGGAATGGGGAGGAAAGGTTGAACACGGAGAGTGTATGAGATTAACGTTGGGGAAGATTAAAAAAATAATTACTTTTTGATTTTTGTATTAATTTATTAATAAAATATTATTAATTAAACAAACCCCACCTATTTGCACCCTCTTACTTTTTTTCTCAAACAATCATTTGCACCCCAATTTATACCCTTCTCAAATTTGTTCCCCCAACAATTTGCACCTCAATTTGCGCCCACTCGAATTTGCACCCACTTATTGCCAAACATAGCGTAACTATATAATAGTACATACTCGAACTAAAGTGGACCTCTGGTATTTCTGCAGGATACATTACTTTACTGCCCCTGAACGTGTACCTGAATTGCACATTCTGGATCTGGATGGTGGATGGAACCTTCAGTTTGATAAGACTCCTCCAACAGTTGAAGGTTTCAATGAGAAGTGACAGCATACAGGCAGCTCAGGTCCTTTCCGCAAGTGTTGGTATCCACCTGACCTGTCTTTCCAAAATGAAATCGCCGCCCGGTTTAATCACTGCATCTTTCCAAAAGTGGGAGGAAACCTTGCTTGATTATACGTCGTCAAATTCAAATATAGAGTCTCGTCTCATTCTACCTGTATGAACATCAAAGTTCCAGCAATGTTGAGGATAATCAAACTTGATGGTGGTGATACGTGATTTCCACCATGAGTGCTCCTCCTCGTTGAGGAATTGAGAGCCATTTTTAATTCTTCTTTATTAACCAAAATATACTAGTCTGAATTCTTTCTACAACACAAAACAACTCTACGGTACAAAATCATATCATTGATTATACAAATTAACGATATAGTATGAAAACCATGTTATAAAGTATACATATACAAACTATCAATCAGATGTACAAAATCAAAACTCACATGCTTACAAATTACTAAACTGGGGTTTTGGTATTCATCAAATCGGAATTTTAGAATAGAGATGAAGATGAAGATGAGAAGGCGACTTAAGTCAAAGTCGAGAAAGGATAGGGATAAAGAGGGTGAATGGAGAAGGTTGGTCAATTATAGTATTATGTTAGGGGTACAAATGACATTTTGTAACGGTTTGATTGAGGTTCAACATTGAATGATAAAATTTGGAAGGAAATTGTAGCGGAAGGATACATTTAGTATCATGACCATAGTAAGACTATAGGTATGACAAATGATTGACTTGTAAAAAAAAAAGGTATGACAAATGATCGTGTCAGAGAACGAATAGTAAATACTTACTACCATACTAAAATTATTTTAGCATTTACCCACTCATATTCACACAAGAATTGGGTAGAAAATCAAACCATGATCACACCCAATTAGATTTTTGAGTATCCATGGGTATATATAAATAATATTTTCCCTTTATAACTCGACCGACATTTTAACAATTAGATGTTGACATTTCATTAGTAAAAAAGTATAACAATAAATATAACTAAACAAAGTAGTTAAAAAGAATAGAAATTGGTGTAAATGTTATATACTTATAGTAAATATCCAACAAGTTGAAAAAATAGTGATGATTTATAGACAAATTATACTTACAAATACATAATTTGACAATTTTGAGTTGGATAGTTAGCAAATCATGTCACCGTTATTCGCAATATTCGAATTCAAGTTGTACCTAAATCCATAGAAAATATTTTAGAGTTTTACTTTACCCTAATCGATTAAATCGGATCCGGATAGATATTCACATATAGAGTTTTACCCTAAAGCGAAATATAATATTGGAACACCTATGAGAAAAATTTTAGTTAGTAAATACTCCGTTTAATACACGTATATGTACCCGTACGTAATTTATCCGTTTAAAACTTCCGTATCCGTATTATTTTTAAGTCATTTCATTTTTATCCGTTCATTTGATCGCTCATGTACTAAACACGTATAAAATCTGTATAACACGTTTTATATCCGTATTTAATGAATTAAATTATTAACTTTACTATTATTTATATATTTTTAAGATAATTAATTTTATATATTTATGACTATTAACGTACTATTAAATGTAATATTAGCTTAGAGACGACGTAAAATACCCGTACGTATTTTCTATGTAACTTTCCTGTACCGTATTTTACTAACTATACTAGATTGGTAAATTTTGCTAATATCCATAATTCTTATTATTTATAAATTTATAATGAAAATTAAGAACGTGTAAGGAAGATGTAAGATATTCACACATTTTATTATACAAAAATATGAAGTAATAAAAAAAATTGCGCATGCATGATACCGTCTATGACAAAGTTGTGAATTTTCTAGCCACAACCTTTTGGTGCAAGTTTCATAAAAAATGAATTTTGTGTTTGAATTTATTAAGAGAGGTTGAGAATGCATCAATCTTGTATTTGAATGTCAATTTGTTAACAAAAAAAATCGTGAATGCATGATTCAATTTCTAAATGCAAAAACAGTGAACATCACGTTTAAAAAAGATTGAATAATTATCAAGTTGTCTATCAAAAAATTTCTTCAACTAAATAGACATTGAGCACAAAAATTCTACGAACCGAAACTCAAACTCTACCTCTTCTTCCCTCTCCATTTGAGTAATGCCAAATTTCATAAAAAGTAAGCATGCATGTATTTTAGTTATTTGATTTAGTTGATTGTTTACTGAACTCAATTTGTGCCTAACTTCTTTTATTGTTGTTGTTTTCGTTTACAGAGATCTACAATAAAGTTGTCAAACCCAAAGATGGAAGAGGGACTAACAGGGAGCCTCCGGCATTGAATGTTATAAGCTCTCCTCCACGTTCAAGTCGTGTTTCTTCACAAGAGAATGTAGAAGAAGAGGAGAGGAGTGTTCGTGATAGAGTTTCAATGAGCACTACCTTCTTTACACAAAATGAAGACCTCGAATTTCTTATGAGGAGCGAAGGGAACCGAACCATAGACAATCTAGCCTTCTTTCGCTACTTTGAAGACGATAATCCCCACCCTACTACCTTCTCCCCTTCTTCTTCATCAAACAATAGAGTCTTTACCTCTTTCCCTTCTCCACCGAGCAATAATATCCCTCATCACTTTCATCACTACCAACCACACACCTCTTTCCCGTTTTCTCAACCGAGCTACAATACTCCTCACAACTTTCGACCCTACCACCCACACACCTCTTTCCCGTTTTTTCAACCGAGCTACAATATACATCACCACCCAAACACCTCTTTCCTGTTTTCTCAACCGAGCTACAATGTTCCTCACCACTTTCAACCCTACCACTCACACACCTCTTTCCCGTTTTTCGAACCAAGCTACAATATCCCTCACCACCCGCTTGCCTCTTCCCCATCTTTTCCCTCGAGCAACGACAACCTTCATTTTTTCCAATATCACACCGACGGTCCATCTACCTCCATCCCTTCTTCTGAACTGAACAATAACGAGGTCTTCACTGATGAGAGTGAGGAGGAGGAGGATGTTGACGATGATGGAGTTGCTGATG